TCACTGCACAGATGTAGGCCTCTAAAGTGAGCTCCAGAACAGAGTCGGAACCTACATGTTCCATCAGCGGATCGGCGAACACCACATATTCATAATATTGCCGATCACAACCGACAGGGCAGCGGGCCCGTGGTTCAATGGTAGAGTTTTGCACTCAATGACCAAAGGTTCGCGGTGATCCACACCTGAGACTAGCTGATGAAGGCTAATAAGCCAGAAAGGGCCACGCCAGTCTCCTTTGTCTTTGTTGGTTCCGCCCCCAAACTACGCATCTGTTTGATTGACGCAACATTTTTCCTATTCTACGTTCTGATGTCTACTTAGAAAACAAAAATAGAAAACTTATTCCGGGAGGCAAACGTAGAAAATTGGCAGATTAGTAAATCAGCGATGATACATGTGTACGCATTCAGGAAGTCAAATCAAGCAAACGAACGTTTTCTATTATTAATTATCAGGCAAATGCAATAATATAAGGGAGGGCAGTGTGAGCACAAGTGTAAGCATCCAATCAGTAGTAAGTAAGGTGAATGTATTAGGGAATTAATGGGTGAGATTTTAGTCATAAAAAGGAGCCAGAGAGGAGGGAGAGAGGGAGAGAGGAGAGACCCGACCATCACTTCAGGAATTAAATCATCCAAAAGTCCTTTATGATGAAATAATTAAAAAGTACAAGGGAGCATAGGATCTTTCTAGTCTCCAACAGATGTGTTCTGCGGACCCCTGAAGCCACGTTTTATAATGCGTGATTTCTTAGCATGGGAAAAGTGTTCCACTTTCGTACAAACACTGTTGTGTTTGAACAATACTAAGGGAGGTGAATTATAAATTATGCTTCCCATCTTCGAATTTCGCATCACAAAGGCCTTTAAAAGTTCTTCTCAGATATTTTTCGGGATGTTAATTATTAATCTTAAAAATAAGGGGACAGTAAACGGTTGACTGAAATTGTCTCGGTTCGCCCTGAACGATTAAAGACAGGTATAAAATATATTGTGGAGGAAGGTTACTAAGGTTACAAAGAAGTATCGTCTCATATTTCACATGTTTGTAAATTTTACCGCAATCATAGAGACCGATGAATCAAGACCATCTGAGATTGCATTTTCACGCTTCCATCTACTTTGAAATCTTTAGTGAACCAACATTTAGCCCAAAATGTCTTAATTCGTGAATATTAATGAAAATAATTGTTAAGTTTTTTAGATATGCTCTGTAAGTACTGAACCGAGAATAAGCCAGGATCAAGTGTATATTGTTTTGAGAAAAAGCAGATGTGGTCGCTGGGAAAAGCAATCTATGCACCTGACGTTTTGAACTCGATCATCAAAGTAAATATCAGAAACGGTTCGTATTTCGTTTTGCCTTTGAGGACTCGCAGTTAATAAAGAGGCTCTGCAAACCCAAAAGCCTAACATATGCACTGGCAATTCAACCAACAACCTTTTAGTTCACAGTTGATTTTCCAAAAAGAGTTCGTGGACTACTGCTGACGGTTTATCTCTTTATTTAGGCGAAACGAGCATTCACATATTTTAAAATAAAATGCTAGTGGGGGTCTGAATTAAGGTGTTGCATCAGACAGTTTATGTTTTATATTTTTACCCTAAAAACCTAACCGTTTACTCAGGATATATGGGGTCCTAACGTTTTTCAGTTATAACCAAATGTCGCGACGGAAACATGCTTTCGCGCCGTGATACGTTTGCATAACTTACAGGTGTTCCTTTTCTTATGATCATCCTTGTTCTGAGATCTTTAGCTTTTTACTCATGCTGTCCGTCTATTCTGCAGGCTGAAGGAATTGCTCAACAAACAACGAAATCAGGTGAATGAACAAATAAAGGCAGTTGACCGCTTAATATTGGACCTGCGTGATCAATTTAACAAGCTGCGAGAGGAGATGAGTAGAGTACCTGACGTTTCCTCGGAACTCGCCAAAATGGAGATGTCGATGCAAGAATGGGCCAGAGCACGTAATCAGGTTAGCATTATTTATTTCTCAGTCACCAGAAATTTAAGACCCTCACTCTCGCTAGTGGACATACATTGGGTTTATTATGTGCACAAACACAAAGCAAACTGCAACCGTAAATTGTTAGTCCCTATCGTTGAGCTCTGACAGCCACTCGGGCCATATGTTTTTTTGTATTTGGAATGAAATGAAGGGATTTCCACTTTGCTAATAGCCAGTACCCCAATTATTCAATTATAACTGCCCTTATAACTCGACTTGATATTTAGAATTCACACGACTGGTATCCAGAATAACAACACGATAAAATGTGTGTGGAACCTAAAATCGGTGGTCAGGTAACCTAACACAGTTAAAACGGCATACGTTTAACAGTCGTTAGATGTGTTTAGGAGGTCCTGAATCGACTTCAATAGGTGAAAACATTGATAGTGATCCCGTATATTTTTGATGGTAAAATTATTGAGGAGTTAAATTTTTTATATGTCTTTTGGTAAATTATATCACCATAGGCATAAAACGTCTATTGAACCCTGCCCCTGCTGCAAGCCACTACGCACTTGGCGCAAATACTCTTTTGCAAACCCTGCAGCTAACTATATAATATGTATTCCCGTCGACTATCCTGCTTGTATGCTCTTTGCCCTTTCGATTTCCTAAATCTGAAGCGAATTTTATCGCTCTTTACGCACTCCACGTCAGCTGTCTGCAAATGAAGATGGGCGCTCACCATTCAGTACGGAACTCACTGCTTCCATCGCCTCTTGAGGCTTGCTCTCGAGCTTCGCCAGCAACCATTCAGCGGCTAGCATATTAGAGGCAGAGTGACATTATCGACAAAGACAAGGGAAACTTGAATAGCAATTTCTGGCTTATTAGCCGTCATCAGTCTGCCATACCCAAACTGAAGGTGGCACCTCCCGAGGCTCGGACTCGAGACCACGTTATTTACAATTCCAACACTCTAACCACTACTCCACGGTCTTGTTGCCTTGCCGGTTTCGATAGAGAATGTACCCTGTGGTAGATGGATACTCACCGATCGGCATGAAACGGACCTGTTTCGTTGTGCTGACAAAAATAAAATATACTTAAATGGCCATTTAAGCTTATTAGCCGTCACCAGCCAGTCATATCCCACCTGCGGTTTCCAACCCTGAAGCACGGGTCATGCTCTTTTAGTTAGACGCCCAACGATCTCAATCATTGATTCGCAAGCACGTTGTCCTCTCTGTTATAACCGGGTGCTTAATTGTGGTAAAGTGAAATGGGATTCACCATTTCGTTTATGGTGTTCTGGATATAATCAAAGGGCTCTGGCAAAAACGCAGCGGGGCGTGGTATAATGGAGTATCAACAAAGAGAAGAACGACAGAGATATATATTTCTGGGTTATTCGGTGGTTCACTAAACAAACACTATTAATTCTCTATTGTCTTCGTCGATAATATTTCAGTATGGCTAGCCAACGATGGCGGCGGATAACTCAACAATGACAATTCTTGTCTCCCATGCCTTTGATGGTTATCCATCACGCCCCTGTTTCTGGTGCTTTGTGATCACACATCGAGGCTTCTGTATTGAACAGCAGTGCGCAGCGGTACGAGTATGTCCCGTAAACATACAAGTGAACACCCTTACTACGGCGGCGTAAATTTCCGAGCACAAATGTCGGAAAAACGGGTTCGTGGTCGAATTTGAAAGAAAGACTTAATAGCAAACAAATCCGGACTCGAATCACATGTTATAAAGACCTGAATTTGCGTGTGGCCGACTGAAGACACCTAGAAAGCCCCAAATTGTCATGTCAGCGTTTGTTATTTCCTGTCTCTATTCAGACCTGCATTTAAAGGTACGATTCGATAGTTTCGGATTCTTCAGAAATGATAGCGTAAAAGTGCCGTTTTTGTAAACCGATCCCATCACTTCCTCGTTATATCAGTAATCCTTTATGTGAAAATAGAAGTATTAACATGATTTCAGATGAAATGGACATAATGTAGACGGGAATCATTAGATCTTATGAAAAACCCTATCATTTTTAGTGAGTATGTAAATTAGTCAGCTTCGTAAGAGCAGGATGTTCTAAGTTCCGGAAGCCAAGATTTCAGGAACTAAATCAAATCCTGTCCTGTTTACTCCACCAGTGTTTGTGTTGAGTTTGCCTCTGTTACAAGACTTAGGGCTTGTGTTCATCAATGCGTTCTTTCGCCTTCTGCAAGTAACTGCATTCGTTATGCCCATGTTATGCTGGCCAGTTGATTTTTCAGCGTG